GTTACAAACACTTGTAAGTTGCCTGATATATGTGCTGGGAAATGAACGTGGGTCCTCCCTCATGGACCCCTAACTGCTAAGCCATCTCTCCAGCCCTAGTTATGGCTTTTACACAAAGAAATCCATCAATTCTCCTCAGACACAGGTGGGTGATGGAGGGACCGGAAATTAAGAGTTGGTTTTGTTCAGATCCATGCACATGTCCCCATTCCAATTTTAGGATCCCATTCTTTAGGGTCTTTCACAGGAAAATCTTGACAAGACTAAATTCAAAAGACAATGAGGGCTCAGCCACCTACACAATTGAGGGTTTGTCTCATGTTTAGTGAAGTCAGCCCAGTGTGTGCCAACGTCTTTTCCTGTCACAGAAGACTTTGAGTACTCAGTCTGTAACTTGTGGTGAGAACTGAAGGGCATACATGTTTCTTTTTCTTTTGGTAATCAATCAAGCATCCTCAGAAGAGCTCACCCATCACAGTCCTTTTGGTCACCCTTACTGTCATAATGGTCAAGTACCATAGACAGCTGGCCTCTCAAGGTACATTCTTATCATCTAGGTGTCATCCTAGAATACCATGATTAATTGTGATGTCACTGCCTTCCATGGATTGCTAGCATGCCATTTCCCACTGGCAGGTACTCCAGCTAGTCCTTCAAGTCTAAAGGTACAACCACACTCTGGGATCCAGTTTCCATGGGGTTTTCCTGATACCATTCCTGGTACAAGTTGGGACCCAGTAGGAGATGAAAACAGCTCAATTGTTTGGACAAGGAAAGCAATATCTGAGGGAACAAGAGAATGCTGAAGATTCTCTCCCCGGGGCCTTCTGCTGATCCTTCTGAGTACCCATCAAAAGAACACTACTATCGGCTAGACAAGTGAGAGAGATCTGTGTGCTGAGGGCAGGTGATGATGAAGAGAATGAGGTTACAAAAGGGCAGGGCAGGTACAACCTGTTAGCACTTACATGCACATGCACACATTTCCATAAGCAAGAGGGGGAAATCGCCTTCTGTCTTTTACAGATTAAACTTGCTTGCCAACAGGAAATGGTAGCTCTCAGATTCAGCCACCAGAGGACAGCAAAAGACCAGCTAGTTAATACAAAAGGGGAAACACACACACACACACACACACACACACACACACCTCTCAATCCCCAAAGCAAGGGAAATTCTGGGTTGGCATGTGTGTGGTCGGAAAGCAAGGAACACAGTTTGAAGCCTCTATGACATGCTGGGCAAGGATTCTTTGCTAAAACCCGGCAGGGAAACAGGCAGAGAATGGAATTAACAGGGTGTGTGCCTGGCAAAGCGAGAACAACAGCCTGTGGGTCAAGGAAAGCTGACAGGTCCAAGGTTCAGTCTTCCCTGAGCACGGCAGGAAGATGGCCTGCCAGTGGACAGGGCAAATGAAGGATCATGGGGTCAGAACAGGGTGCAGGGGTCCTGGGAAAGGCCAATGGAATTCTGGGCTGCCTGGGAAGAAGACCTGGGCTCTGTGGTTTCCTGGAACAACTCTGAGGGGTTGTAGAAAGGGGCTTTTCAAGTCCCTTGACCTCTTTGAACCTTAGCTTCCTCTAGGTTACTACTTACTCTTACCCCTCTCCCCACCAAGTTACTTCAAGAACCAAAAAAGATGGTGTGTATGAATTGGATAATCGCTTGGTATCCAGCACATCCCCTCCCTGCCCCTCTGTCACCTTGGACCCATTTGACACGGCTTGACTTGGAGTTCACCTCTGACCCAGGAATGGGAACAGAAGTGAAGAGGACAGCAGCACAACAACCTGTTATCAGACTGGCTCTGAGTCACTGCCATCTGTTTACCAGTCTCTCTTCAGAGTTTCTACCCCCTAATACCAAAGCCAGGCGTTATCTCATTTGGGCCAGGACACTCCAGTATCCAGTAGATGTGACCCCAATGACATCACAGCAAACAGGATTCCTTAACTGTGGAGGAGACTTCTGGCTGTTCTGGGCTCAGGGCCCAGGCCTGGCTCTTGTCCCTATCTCAGATCTCCCACTGCTGATGAGGGACTTAAGGTCTGTGGGTCCAAAGGAAGTTCATTTCCCTTATATGCTCTGAAGCCTCCTCACTCCTGTGAGAAAGCACTGGTTAAGAGAGAAAGGGTAAAGCTTTCCTGGGCATCCTGAGGGGTTCTCCCCATCCTCAGTGGGGCCTCCCACCAAGGAAAGCACACCATCCCAACCCCCAACCTCCCAAGGGCTCCCAGACTGCTGGAGGCAGCTAGCTGGCCTGCTGTGTGAGTTTTGTGTGCTTGTGCATACAAGTGGGGGAGGGATGGAGTGGGGGGGAGCCAAGACCTCTAACACCTCCCCTGGGACTCCAGCATCAGGATAGATGAGGGAGGAAGTGTTAAGGGGCCCTGAGCCCAGGACAGGCTGTTCCTAGCTGTGGCCAGAACTGTGAGGGAACAGCTAGCAGGCCTAATTCCCTGAGAGGCAAGCCCACCCTCAGCCATCACCCTTCTCTGCCTCGGCTTCTCCTCTTCCTACCAGGGCACAGTCTCAGGCACTCTGGCTAGCCTGTAGCCGTCTTGATGTCCACCCCGGTACTGTCAGGCCATAGAGAACAGGAGTCAGGACACCTAGCCACCAGTGGGGCCGGGCTGCTCATTTTACAGTGGATTTAACTCAATACCAGGGGGCCAAGCCTGCCCCCAAAGAAGCTGATAATAATTTGAGACCCCAGTACAGCTGTAGGCATCAGGACCCTCCAGCCTCAGTTTCTCCACCTGCCCCATTGGCATATTTCCCTCTGCTTCAGCTCCCCCTAGGACTGTTAGAAGGACTTGTGAGACTAGAAAGCCCAGAGAGTTGCCAGAGCCTGGGAGGGAAGGGACAACTTGAGGATCAAATCCTGCTTCTGCCACAAGCCCAGTTGGTGACATCAGGAAAGACTGTCCTTTCTGGGCACCCTAGCTTGTTCCTAGAGCTGGGCTGGCTTCTCATATCCCTCCAAAAGCCCTTCTTTCGTGGCTGTTGCTCTCTCCTAGACTCCTTAGTGGCTACTGCCTCTGGACATGACCATTAAGTCCAAACAGAAGTCCTTCCTATCCAGGGAAGTCATTGGTTTCCACAGATTCGGAAAGTGTCGAAATGCAGCCTGTGTTTGCTTCAAGTTTGTTTTCTTTTCAAGGGGTCACAAAGCACCAAAGTGCATGCACATGTATATATACATACATACACACACACACACTCATACATACATGCATGCACACATATACTCACACACATGCACACATGTACACATGTACACACACACGCACACATACACACGTATACATACACACACTCGAGTTGGGGCTTTATGGGGACATGTAGGGAGAAGGTTGAGCCAGACAACTGCAAGCCAACCTGGAAGCTTCAGGCTGAGCTCCTAGCAAGCAGAAAAGCACAGGGCGTCCCGGGTTCAAGGCTCACTCCTCTTCCCACTCCCTCAGATAGCCTTGAGCTAAGTGTTACTGGCTAAGCTGCAGACAGAGGGACCAAGAGGTCATCTCCCCTGGGCCTGCCTTACTGCCAAGCAGCTGTTGGGACTCATGTTCACTGGTCTCCTTTATCTGAATAGTATGCTGAGGGAGTGGCACCTCAGAGAGATGGCTGATGGGGGGAGGCAGCACTGACCTAGAAGGCAGCCCCACAGAGGACAGGGTGCTCTCAGGCGGGCATTGTGTATGCCCTGCTTGGCACCCCAGCAGCTATTAGTTGAAGTCCCAGCAGTTGGGAGGTGACCAGCTGTGGAGCTGGTCCTTTGTTCACTCTGCTCTGTGGGGTCCCCTCCACTCACCTGCCTGGCTAAACCAACACTGACTGTGTCTAAGCAGACCCCGGCCTCTTTGATATTTACACACCCAATGATAAGTGGGAATTCTCTTTATGTTACTCTGAAGAAGAGGGCTTGGTGGCTTCTAGGGTTCACCCTACAACTCAAATCAGATAAGTGTCTTGCTTCTGGAGTTAGTCGTCTCTGTTCTTGCTGGTCCTGTCCCCTCGTCCCCTCTGGTTTTCTCAGGCCCATCTGGAGGCCACAGTCTGGAGGCAGGAGCTTGCCCATACACATGCACTTTGACCTGTTTAAATTTAGCAATCTGGATATTAAAACTCAGAACTGGGATTTCCCGTTTCCTCCCCATTCCCTGCCCACCAGGCAGCAGTAGTCTTACATGGTGGATTGGCTCCAGCCAGGGACTGGATGCCCTTGTAGTACAGCTAGAGGCCCCTCCTCACTAGCCCCTCACTGACAGTACCAATAGTAGGTCCATCAACACCCTCCTACCCCTGCCACCAGGGCCATAAGGGGACTCCTCAAACCAAGTGATGATCAAGGTGCACAGTGCACCAGGGGCACTTTAAGAACTCAAGGACACATTCAGGCCAATGTATTAGCATTGCTGTCTCTGGAGGCGACTGGTGAGCAGCAAGACTGCGGGGAGTACTGGTCCTTGGCCAAGAGGCTTCACGGACAAGTTGCCTCTCGTGGTGTTCCTTTACCCCTACAGATGCCAACCGGTGGCAGCCCTATCCAGGCCTTCCTTTGCTCAGAAGAACTCCCTATTCCCTCTCCTGTGGAGCCTTCTGTTTGTTTGCATGTGAAAGCCAGGGTCTCGGACCCTAATCCTGGCTCATATTCAAGCATGTGCAGCCACACCGGAGCCCAGGGCTGCAGTCTGAGGCTGAGTTACTCCTATATATGGTTACCCAGGAGTGAGTCCCATCTGAGCTAACGTGTGACTTAATCTGCTGACAATCTCACCCAGTTGGGGCCCCACTTGGCGAGAACCCTCACTCTGGAAGGAGTATCCACATGAGGACAGCAAAGTGGGAAGAGGTAGGTCATTGGTGGAAACAGGACAGACAGTATGTCCAGCTTTAGAACTAAATGCCACCCAAGTTCTTCCCACCTCTGCTTTGTCTCACATCTGTGAAAAGGTCCAGCTTCCCCCATGTTCCTTGTAAACAAACTCACGAGCCTCCATCTTTCCAAAGTCCTTTTAATACAGCACAGAAAGGCTATATTCTCATAGGCAAGCTTTATATAGAGTCTCCAGGAATAAGGCACACAACGGAATGCCACCCCAAGGCCGGCCCTTTCGGGGAAGCGAGGAACCTTCTCCATGCACCCTCCAGGCGTGGCTCACGGGTTCTGTTTGTCTTTTTAGCTGAGTGCATACACATGAACAGATACAGACATGGACAGGGTCACCACACAGGGGTGCAGGGATTGATACAGGGAAGTTGACCACAAGAGCAAAGGATGAATCTCACTGCCACTTCCCAGAAGGCTGCAAACACCCCTTACTTCAGTATTAGTTGTTGCACTGGTTACATTGTAGTGAGGTTGGATTAGACTTTAAAGTAAATTCAAGTCCATTAGAGCTAGAGGGCAGGTGTGAGGGCTTAGTGGACAGATCCAAGATCAAAGAGCAGGGGGGCTTCCAGGCAGGGCTGGGACAAGGAGGAAGCCTGCCTTGGGTGTTCGTGTAGCTCCTTGGGTCTTGACAAGGCCATTGGGCTCACAGACCAAAGGGTCTGTTCAACCGATGAGTCCTCTTCCCTTGTCCACTCCCTGCCCTTCCCCTAAAAGTTAATAAAACTGTGATAACAAGATAATAATACAAAGATGCAGGAGACAAGAGTCAATACCACCTGTCATCTTCAGTGGAAGAGGCACAAAGGATCGCTGTTCCCTTTTTACCGTGTTGTCCATTGATAACTTCCCTTAAAAAGGCAATACTTCCAAAAATACATAAATGTATAAATACAGGACAAGAGCATATTAATAAGTCTAAACACTTGAATAATATACTGGCTGCTTAATACTGATATTTTCATCCAAGGAAAATGAAATTTAAAAAAAAAACATAGCTTAAAAGATTGCAAAGATTTTTTTCGTTAGAATTATGTACCAGCTTCATATAATAATTCTATGTAGATAATATTTCCTTCTTAATGTAGTTCAGTTGCATACTTTTTACAGACCAAAGCATAGAAAAAATAACAAGAAAAAAAAGGAAAAGTTCTCACCATAAATATCTACTTATAGCTCGACCAGACTTGCAAAATACATCTAAAAATCAGTTTGTTATGGATTGTGCTTTCAAAAGCACTGACGTTTAAAAACATGCCTTTTTGTTGTTTTCAATTTCAATAGTATCAAGCTATAATATTTTTCTTTTCTTTTTTTTTAAAAAGACCCTCAAATATATACAAACAAACTCACTATGAAGAATTTGGGGGCTGGGAGGGAGCTACCAAGTTCCATGTCCAAAGAAAAACTGGTAGCCATGCAGAAATTTTAACATCTATGATTTTTTCCCCAAAATACACACATAGCATTTTTTTAAAAAAAAAAATTCTGTGTCAAGTATAACTCAAAATAAATACAAATTCACAAGTAGAGCTATTGAATACTTCGTATGGGGTAAACACCATTCTCTCTCAACTAGATCGCTAGATCTACCCACTGCAAGCGATTGTCCCTTTTGAATGTACTACAACCATACACTTTCCTGTCCCCTGGGCTCCTAGGCCCTCTGAGCATTAACTCTCCCAGCACCCAGCCTTGATAGTGGTATCTTTTGCTAGCCTCAGGAAAATCACAAGTTCAGCCAAAGCATTGCAAGGCAGGGCCAGGGAGGGGCTGCCCCGGGTGAGCAGGGCCTGGCTGTACACAGACATCAGTCTAGGCCCTTTAGGCTAATAGCTCACCTCCTACTGGCCCTGGCTTTCTGAAGACCGTCGCAAGCTCTTTGCATCTTTGACTCAGTTACCTATTCCCAACTTGTCCTCACTTGGGACACACGTACACTGTCCATTGCTGTGAATGTTCTCTTTAGAGTCCTGGTGGGATGACTGACAGAAAAAGCCCTTTCCTAGCGACAGGAAGTTTGGCATCGGGCAGCCCTAGTGCAGCAGCAAGACTGGAGAATCCTGGGTGCTGGGTGCTCACCGTCTGCAGTCCAGCATGCCACCATTCGATGGCAGCTAGTAGTCTGGGCCGCCACAGATAATACCTTTGTTAAGTGCTCAGAGGGTATGTTCTTCAAAATCTACCCTGCAGCTAGCTGCTGCAGACACACAACCATCTCTTCCACTTACCCCCTGGACCCTTGCTTAACACTTCATATGACTCCTCAATCGTACAAAACTTTTTCATTTGAAAACAAAGGGCAACTGGGCACCATATGTAAACATGAATTTCAGGCCTATTTCATGGTCTGATTTTTTTTTTCTCTCTCTCTCCATAGAAGCATAGTATGGGGCAAAGTCAAGCAACTCAGTTCTGGCAGCTGGTGAAGAGGAGAAAGACAAGAGAGGTGTGGCTTGTCACAGGGTAGGGGGGACACTGCTGACCCTGGCCAAGACAACAGCCATCCTGGGACCATGTGACATGCCAGGAAATCTCTCTGCCCCCTAAGGAAGTAGAAAATCTCTATCCTCAGTTTCCAAAGGAGAGGTTCTGTGGCTCATTTTAGGCTTGCCCAGTGTGAGGGGTTGAGGAGAAAGAGGAGGAAGAGGGGGAGGGATCATCTTTTGTCTTCTCAGGGGATGAGAACCTCAGGCAGGGAGGGCTGTAGGAGAGGTCCTGGCATCACTCAGCTTGACATCCTAAATGGCTATCAGGACAGAGGTCGGAGGGCAGTGCACCTGGATGTCTAGAGATAAGTCTCCCCCCACCCCCTACCCCCACCCCCAGTGACACTCTGTTCCAGAGGCAGCCTGCTCTCTTCTAGAATGTCAGAGATCACTGGGACCTCTTGCTTTCTGGTGGCACTTTGTCACTTAACTAATGGGGAAACTAAGGCTGGCGATAGATGACCTTGCCCCAAGTGGCAGAAAGCAGCTCCCGAATGCCAAGGCCTGCATCCTTCATGCCAGAACAGCCTTCCAGCTTTTGTGGGGTGGCATCCCTGACATGGGTGGGAAGCTAAGGGTAAAGAGAGAGCAGCTGACAGAACCCAAGCCTACAGGACACTCTGGGGAAGGTCATGGAAGTGGTGATGCCTGATGTCCCTAGGATGTCTTGGCACACTGGTTACTGTTCAATGTCCCCCTTGCCTCACCCTCTGCCTACCTGTCTCATTGGCAGAGGGAGGCTGGGTTTAGCTACCAGGTGCAATGCAGTGATATCAGGGCTAGTCAGATTAGGGACTCAGTGTGGGCAGGGACAGAGGGCCACTCCTTGGTAGCTGCTAGAACAAGTGACTGCCCACTGTGGCCACAGATCAGGAATGACATGGGACTTCCTAGAGTGGTTTTTCATACGAGGCAAGCTGCAAGGTGCTGGTGGGATAGGGCCTGGCTGGTATTGGAGGGAGAACTTCCCACAGGCCACAGGATCTTAGTGTACTTGTGGCGGATGCAAGGTCACTTGGCCCCAAAGACACTCAGGAGGAGAGCTTGCAGGAACATCAAGACCCTGCTAGCCTCTGTCCTTCTACAGAGCCCAGGCCTAAGATGAAGAGTCTCTGAGCCTCCTGTGTCTGCACCCTGTTGGGAGTATGTCAGCTACTCTGTTAGCACGTGAGAAGAGGACATAAGCCTCCTCTGCTTAAGCCCACAGGCCTGTGATATCTCCTCAAGTATGGGGACATTCAGCCCTTTGGGCACCACAGGGAGGTGGCAGCTGAGGGATGCTACAGTGGTGGCCAAGGTCACTGCACACGACGACAGTAGTAGCCCAGGACCTTGCATTTCTCGCAGAGGTGCTGTGGGTGCTCCTTGCTCTGGTCAGACACATCCAGGCCATCGGGCTTCTCCAGGGGTCTCTGCAGAGCAGGGGAGGGAGGGGCAGAGGGGAGGGGGAGAGAAGCTGCAGTTACAGATAGCTCAGCCAATGTTTTAGCATCCCACCTTTTGCTTGTTTGCAGACATTTGTGTCTCAGAGGCTCAAGTGAAACTCCTGGGCTGGCTAGGGTCAAGGCAGGGGTCTTAGACCCAGAACCAATGGCAGATATGCTGCTTGATCCACAGAGAGACGGTCTGGGCAACTGCCCCTCGGAATGAATATCAGAGATCTCCAAATCTTGCCCAGAATAAATTCAGTACAGGGGCACAAAGACATCTGCCTAATGAAGAAACTGAGTCACAGTCAAGGGAAACCTCAACTCCCATCTGTTTCCTTCAATCCAGTGGCCTTGGGAGTCACTTATCCTGGACATAGCTACATTTCATCCCAAGGGATAACAGGACTCTTAGTTCCATAAAGCCAATCTGGGGTCTGGGGTCAACCCTAGCCAACTCTTGGCCTAGTCACTACCTGCCCATTTATCGAGTGACTACATGAACTTGTTGGTTTTTTAAAGAGAAACGGAGGCCCAGGGAAAGGAGATGACTCACTAGGCCTACTGTGACACTTAAGCATGGTCCTCATCTGTAAAGCATGTTGTCACACATTTGCAAAGTTTGGAGAAATCCCAAGGGATGCTGGCTATTGGTAACCTGGGCAGCATTAGACACACATAAGTACCCCTCTAAAAAATTGCATGTGTTCACGTGTGTGTTCACGTGTGTGCATGTGTGGCTTCAGCATGAGTGTGGAGGTCAGAAGACAACTCGAAGGAGTCAGTTCTCTTCTGCCATGTGGGTCCTCGGGATTGAACTTGGGTTATCAAGGTTGGTGGCAAGGCTCTTCCCCTTGGGGCACCTCACTGGCCCTCAATCTTTTTTGTACTTGGATGGCTTGGGGCTCTCAGCTTTCTCTCCCTCTATGATCTACCCATAATAGCCAGCCAAAAACCTGTAAACATTGCAAAAATCATGAGGAGTGGCTCTGTAGTGGACACTATTTTAGTTGGCCACAAGACACTATCCTCCCTCTAAGCTCAGAACGATACCATGGCAGCAGAAGGGTCCTCTAACCAGACTTGGAGGCTCAGAGGAAGCTGGTCAGGCAGCTGGGAGCCATCTCCCAAGAAGAGGGGAGCAGAAACTATAGGCTGACATGGGGTTTGGGGCAAAGACCCTTGGATACCAGTGACATGCCCAGGACGGTCAGGCAAGGGCAGCTGAGATGAATGCAGCCCACTGTGTAGACTGTAAATTACTCAAGAGTAGCAGGCTGCTTTTTTGCCTGGACCAGGCCTTGACCCAAGCTGACATTCAAAGCAGTTAGGCAATAGGATTAAGGGTTCTAAAAGGTGAAGGTTTAGATGACAAGCGGCCAGAGTTCTACCTCTTAACTGCCCTAGAAGGGGTATCATACAACCCAGCCCTTTGAAGCTTTTGCTACAGAGGAAAGGTCTGGAAGGAGAGCCTGGGCTTGGAACTGGGGACCTTCCAGAGGACTGACCTCACCCCTCCTATTCTGTCCCAGCAGGGGAGAGGAGAAAGAACTTGACTTCCTGGCAGACGAGGTCCCAGAGGGCAGCTCAGCCTCCATACACTGGCTGTGTGGCCTTGGCCTGGCCATTTGACCTCTATGAGATACCATCTCAGTCCCTACTGTAAAGTGAGTGGCTGGCTCTGTTTCAGGGAGTCCTTCTCAGCAAGCCTAGTTAAGACAAAGACTAGATGGAAAAACACTCCTTCTAGGCACTGGGGTTGTTTAGTCTTAATATTAATGGGAAGGGGACAGTGATACAGGGTCACTCAGCGTAGGAGGTGGCTAACCCACCCTCTGCTGTTCCAGGTGCAGAAACTGAGAGTAGCTCTCATCTCCTCTCTATATGGGCTTGCATGCCCCCAGGGTTGAGTCATTGTATGTTCTATATGAAGAACTCCATCTTGAGTTGGAGTCTGGATCCCTGTGCCTTCATCTTGGATGTTCCTGGCACCCAGGGCCTCCTGTCCTATCTGCTCAGCTCCCAAAGGATGGCGACTAGTGGAGCCCTGACATGTTACCTACCCCAGGCCAAACCCAAGCTGTCTTATCAATTTCCACTGCTCCTCTCAGCTCTTCCCAGGCCCCTCCATGAACCAGCTTTCTAGTAGAGGATAGAGGGACAGGAGTGGGCTAGCCTACACTGTCTTAGCTCCTCCTTTTATGTTCCCAGGCACTGCCATGGAACTCAAGGGGGCAACTTCCATGGGAGTGGTGTTTACCACAGGTGAGGAAACCATAAGCCATTTAAAAGTCTTGCCCAGAGGCCTCCAGAGAGGGAAGGGTGAACCTCAAGTCCCACATCCTCAGGGATATGCCTGACCTTGTCCTGTGGCTTAGGGCTAGCTCTAGATCTCATGTACTCTCCTAGCCTGTTCCAGGTCCCTGGTTTTCTCTTCCTGAGGTAGCATCCTCCTCTAAGGCTGCTCCCACCCTTGTGGTCCTGAGAACCCATTCACACTGCTCTGCCCACCCTGTCAGGCACTGCTGTCCTGGTTTTCACCCCAGGGGCTGATGGAGATCCAGAGCTCCCACAGGTAAGGACAGAGCCAATGAGGAGAGCTGAGAGACTTGTAGAGTATTCTGGAAAACTGCTCTGCTCTCGTCTCTGAAGTGTGTCCACAGCTCATAGTATCACACGCCAGATAGCTTTGAACATTACCTCTGTTATCCATTGGCTGATGGCTGCTACCTGAGCTTGCCTTTCTGCAGCCTAACCTAAGCTAGCAGGTTAGTGACAGGTGTCGTCTAGACTTAGCTCTGTGTGCGTGTGTGCACACATGTGTGTGTGTGTCCACTGTATGCAGTGCAAATATGCATTTGTGTATATGTGTGTACACACATGTGCCTGTGTGTTCTCTGTGCACGTGTGTGCATGCATGTTGTGTGTGCGTGTGTCTGGTGTGTGTATATGTTGTATATGTACATGCGTGTGTGTGTGTGTGTTAGAGAGCAAATGACTGTCTTAAAGCATTCTATAACCACAGAGCTCCACAGAGACTTCATAATGCCTGTGGACAGTCGGCAAGTCATTTAGCATCTCTTTGGATGATTTTCTCCTCCATAAAATGTACCTAATAGAAATCCTGTTTCATGGGGTTGTTGTGCAGAGTGGTTAGAAGGGTCCCTAGCTCATGGAGAGCTGTCCATGCATTGGCTAGTATTAATATTGAATATTATCAGTGATGTTTTGAAATGGCAGGACCATCAGATGAATCCTTGGGAAATACTCTTGGCCTTCACTCACCAGCCCTAGCCTGAGGTTCCTTTAAACTGCCTTTCTCCTTGGCCTTGGTCAGTATGAACTTTGGCCAGCTGCTAAGACTTGCTCAGCCTGCAGCCTCAAGTTGCCAGTGGGGAGCTTGGGGGAGCTGTCAGGATGACTCCCCTCTGTGGTAGGAAACACCCAGCAGCTGGGACTGATCTATGATCTGACCCCCAGCCCCCAGCAGGGAGGCAAAGCCCATTAGTGTTTTCTTCTCTTCTGGAGTTGGGGGGTGTGGGGCCTGGGTTGTCTGGGGGAGACGCAGTTGGAGCCTGACAGGAAACAGATGTAGTGGGGGCAGGGCTTCTCAGAGGGGTGAGGTGACCCAGGTCAGTCCTGGGGGAGGGGCAAGAGCCTTTCTCCATGGGGCAGGAGAACAGGCTCCATTGCCTCACAAGGAGAGCAAGGGGGAGGTATTTCCAAATCTCAAGCCAAAGAGAGGCGCACACAGGCCCAGGAACCCTGAATTTGGCTGGCGTGTGCATTGCTGGGTGGGATTGTTCAAATCTTATTCCGTTTGTGTACCTCAATCTCCCCAAAGCACACAGTAGGTGCTCAACAAATGCTGGCTGGATGATGGTGAGTGGGAAGCATGGAGCCTCGAGTTCTTCTAGATTGGGCTCCTCTGTGTAGAACCAGGCTGGCAGGTCAGTAGGCTACACTTAGGCTATGCTGGTAGGATGTGGGAAGGAGGAAGGCAGGGAAAGCCACCAAGGAGCGAGGGATATCTTGGCAAGATGGAAGGGACCCGTAAGTAGCCTGTCCTGCCAGACACTGGCCCACACAGGAAAACTGCCGAGTGTCCAGCTCCTCTGGCTCTGAGTCTATGAACTGGTCCTGCCTTTCTGTTTAGGTCATAAGACAGTCTGTGAGTCCCCCAGACCTGCAGCCCAGATCCTCGGAACCCAGACACTGGAGGACTTGTAGAAGCTGGGCTGTCCTAATTCCCTGTCCAAGTCATCCACCATGGCCTATTCTTTCTGCCTACTCCACCCACACACTTGAGCTTCAGTTAAGCCTCAGTAGGGGAAAAGAATTACCTTCCAGGGTGCCTGAAATAATGCCCTGTGACTCCTCCCACCCACTGTAGGCTGCCCAGTCCCACATCTAGCTCGGCCCCCACCCCAGACCCCTCCTACCCACCTGCTTGTGCGGGTACACGTTGATATGACACTTGATGCACTCCTGCCCCATGTTGGCCCAGGAGTTCCCGCTCATCCATTTTCTCTTGCATTTGGGGCACTTGTACTCGCCAAAGCAGCGCTTCTTGCCTTGGTACGGTGTCAGACCCTCACCTTTGGGGCGTGCCTGGAGAGACAGGAAGTAGATACGGGAAAATGAGGGTTCAGTCTTCGGCTCTCCTGGCCTGCATCTCGTTCCCATACTTGCTTTATGGTGTGCTGGGAATCAAACCCAGGACCTCGTGCATGCTGGACAAGCCCTCTACCAACTAAGTTACATACCCAACCCAATTAAGCTTGGTGTTTCTCTCACGTCATCACTAGTAGCTACCGTATTCTTCTTCAAGGCTGCACAGTGGCAGAATTCATGAAAGCTCACTGTGTGCTACTATAAGTGCTTGGTACACGTGTCAGCATACATGCCAATGAGTGGATTTGCAGAGTAAATTTCCAGAAGTGAAACTCCTGAGGCAAAGGTTACGGGCGCCATTTTTAGTGATAAGACCTACTGCCGCTGCCTCTGCTCCCACAATGCTTCACCAGCTTCTTGTTCCAGATCCACGGGAGCAGAGTTTTAGCTGGTGCTCCCATCTGTTTGCAGCTGCACTGTTCACACGTTTGCTTTCCTCAGTCGTGTTCAGCTGATCAGAGAGTCCCAGAAATAAACAACTCACATGCTTTAAACTGTGCACAGTTCTGAGGAACAAGATGAGAGTTCTTTCCATGTGCCTGGGGCATCAGTGGTCCCATTGCCTTGTGTGTCCATGGTATATACGCTACCCGCCCATTAGTTCCTCAGTGACTGCCTGATACCGATGAACCATAGCATCTACAGTGCTTATGTTCAAGTGGCTCTCGTTTTACGTAGGGATTGACCTGGAGCACAGGAGTAGGGTAGCAGACACCCCATGTGCCAACGAGACGTAAAGGGCTTTCGTTACCTTGATAAGGGAAATTTGCCAATATCATAAAGAAAGGGGGAAAAAAATCTGAGGTCGCTAAAACGTGTGGTGAGAACAAAGCCTCTGCTGGGAAATCGAAGAGAGATCCACGCTAGTTTTGATCTTGCCATTGCATCCCCTAGTTCCAGCCCTGGAGCAGTCGTCTTGAAATGTACCTTTCTCCATGAGGGGAGACCATACTATTGCTAATCTAAAAGATGTGAGATCTTCTCAGAGGAGGTTGGACAGATATTTTTCATAATGAGCAAGAGGGATCTTTGCGTGTATTTAAGAATGGTTTGCTAGTGTACTCACGTGCATAAAATAAAGAAGTCTTTAAAAAAAAAAAAAGAGAGACAGAATGGTTTAATCACATTCCTCAGATTATTTTCTGTGCAGATTTAAAAATATTTTCTGTGCACATGTCTGTGCCTGTGCATGCTGGTGCCTGCCACAGTCAGAAGGGGGTGTCAGGTCCCCTGCAGCTGAACTTACAGGCAGCTGAGAGCCAATCAATGTGGGTACTAGGAACTATACTCTGGTCCTCTGAAACAGCTGCAGAAGTGCTTATCACTGAGCCACCTTTTCCACCCTAGCCTTTTTCTTGTTGACTTGCAACTGCACTTTATATATGAAAGAAGCTAGTGCTCTCCTGCACAGCTTGATGCCTTTATTGAAACATGATCCAAATAATGCATACCTCTCTCATTGAAAATGGTCACTTCAGTGGTTTTTAGTATATTCGAGGTTGTTCACAGTCTGATTTTAGGATACATTTGTCACTCTCTAAAAGCCACTCTGTGCTCCTTCATGCCCACCTCCTGTTCTACTTATGTTCTACATATGTTCTGCGGATATGATCTACTTCCTGTCTCTGTAGAGCTCCCTGGCTTACACTCATCCTTTTGTCTGGCTTCTTCCACTCTGTGTAACGTTGCTGAGGCTCGACCATGCTGAAGCATGTGTCCACACTTCACCCTCTCTTGCTGCCAGGGAATACCTACTGTATGCCAATGACGTGACATAGGAAACTCTGGGCTGCTTCTCAGTCAGGGTTGTCATAAATAAAGTGTGGCGAGCCTGCACATGCACAGGGAGGATGGTTTTTAAAAGCTGGATTTCTTACCACAGGATGTAAAACTGGGAGATAACCCATAGCTGTGGACCATCACCAGCCGTGGATTTCCACTAGCTGAGGCTGAGGAGTGCCTGACCATTAGAGCCAGTGTTCACTCTCTCCGGTCATCTCTTCCTACCACAGCTCCCTCCACACCTCCCCTGCTTGGTTCTTATAGGCTTTGAGTTTGAGAGGCCAGGAGAAAGCTCTGCGTGTCATCATTAAGTGTAAGATTGCCGCAGTCCTACCTGTGGTAGGTCATGTGTTAGAGAGGAACAATCTTGAGTCTCACATTCAATTCAATGAATCAGAACCTCTGTGTGCGTGTGTGTGTGTGTGTGTGTGTGTGTGTGTGTGTGTGTTGTATATGTGTAACTGTCCCCGTGCATGTACAGGCTAGAGGTCAAACACAAGGGTCTTTCTCAACTGCTCTCCACATCCTTTTTTTTTTTTTTTTAAAGACAGTTTTCCACTGAACCTGGTGCTTACCCATTCAGCTTGGCTGGCCATCAAGCAAGCTCCAGGAGTCCTCCTGTCTTATCTTCCCTGTGCTGGGACTGTAGCAGGTGCCACCCCAGCCAGCTTTTTCTGTGGGTGCCAGAGATTAAACTCAGGCCCACATGCTGTGCAGCAAGCACTTTTCCCATCAAGCCGTCCCCTGCCAGCCCAGAACCTGCATTTCGACAACCTCTACCAGGTGCAAACTGAACTCTGATGACCTGAGTTCAATCTTCGGGACCCACATGGTGGAGAAAACCAACTTCCACAAGTTGTCCTTTGACCCTCATATGCATGCTGTGGCACACACACACCACACACACACACACACACACACACACACACATAATATCTGCAATAAAACCTTTTAAAGAAGTATTAAAGGAGATGATACAGATAACCCCTGAGAACAGCGAGTGGCACACAAGGTAAAATCGGGTTACTGGCACTACTGCTTACTAACCTGAAGTAGTATCCGTATGTAAGATAAACATTTCTATTACTTATGAGTGGTTGATCACTCACACCACTAGGTGATATCTGTCTAGAGTTCAGACAAAATAATAAAAGGGAGATTGGTGTGAAAATCAAAACTTGGAAAGCAAGCACAACACAGTGCTGCTTTTTAGGTCACCTGCTTGATGTCACTGTGACTTCAGGTTCACTGTGCACCCTGAGAAGGCCCGAGAGAGAGCTATGTCATGAGAGATGTACCCCACAGAGTTATGAGGTGATCTGTTCACCTTGGACATGAGGACGCCTGTGAGGCTGCGCTCTTTAGCTATCTGCTTTGCAGGTTTTCTGAGGCCAGTTTCTCCACCCCTGTCCAGCAGCCAGTGCCCTGGCTCTGAGCTTCCTGTGTCCACAGCCCACTTGCTTCTTTCATCCCAAAATAAGGCGCCGAATGCATGCGCTCTCCTGTGTCCGTTTCCAAAGCTACCTGCCTACACTGTTGAGGGGTTGATGGAGCTGGGGAAGTGGCTTAATTGATAAAACATTTGCCCTGTAAGCGAGCAGACCTGAGTCTGACCAGGAACTCACGTAAGTTAGTCTGGTGTGGTAGTACATCCTTGCGATTCCAGGGATGGTAAAATGACAGGTGGAGTTAGGCAGAGCCCAGGAAGCTCTTCTACTTTGGTGTACTTGGTGAAGTTCCAATCGAGTATAAACCCTGTCTCAAAGGAAAGATGGATAGCACTTGGGTTGCCCTCTGACTTCCATATACACATGTACACCACACAGGCATGTATGCAGTTATACATACATGAATGCAAGCACATACATACGTTCATACATACACACACACATACACACACACCTACAAATAGTAGGCATCTTGTCACAGGTGGCTCTGAGATTTCCCTTAACTGATGAATGGACAGGGCCTGTCTCCTCCAGGCTGGCTCTGGAACCTGGTTCCGCAGATTTATTCTTGCTCAGAGAGCCCTCAAGAGCTGGGGCTTGACTACCGTATCTAGGCCAAAGGACAGAAGTGGATATCAGCTTATCCTAGCACATCTGAGCAAAACATTGTGTCCTAGTCAGGATTTGAAATAAACTAAATTCCAGTCCCAGGGTATCTGATTCAGAGTTCGAGGTCACGAGAGCCCACAGAAGTAGTGAGGTGTAGGTTGTAAGCAAAGGGAGAAGCAGGCAGTCAGACAAGAAATGAACGGGGAGCAGAGCCGAAGCTCTCAGGGTTGGGATGCCTCGCCTCCGATAGGTCCAGATGTCCCATCATGCCAGTGCCACACTGACAGGCCAGATGCTGGAAGCTCCCTGATCCCTCTGTCCCATAGCTCAGATCCTGGACTCCAGGGCCAGATTCCTAAATCACAAGACAGCTCAACTTGTTGCTACCCGGCAACCCACAACCAGTCCGTTGGTGTCTCTGCCTGTTTCCACATCTGGACACCAGATGCTGATCAAGGACCTGAGCTGTAGACCTGACACTCTTGCAGGTGCTTAGCTTAGTCCGGGCACATCGGCATACTCTCGCTCAGTGACTACTGGTGTCTGGGGCATGCAGAGGGAGGGGCTGAGACCTAGGCAAAATCCAAAAAATATTTTTTGTTGTCCTCTATCCCAAGGTGTGAGCATAGGAAGACTAGCAAGCAATCAAAGAAAGGGGAGTGAGGTGTCTTCATCTTCTGGAATATTCTACCAGTAGGACCCTCCAAAAGTCAAAAAGAAGGCTGTGGAAGTTTGGACACATGCCAGTAGAGGACAAGGAGGAGGGAGGAGACCAAGCATTTGTGGGACACTGCCTGTGTCCTGGGCTTTTTCTCAGTGTTCACAGCCTGTCAGGCCTCACTCAGAGGCTTCTTCTCACTATAGAAGGCTATAGGACAGCTGGTGAAACTGAAGGGTAAGGGCAGGATGCCCAAGAACAACCATATACAAGAAGCTGGAATTGAGGCTCAGGAGGCTCTTCTGTCTGCCGTGGCCCAGCAGAGATATGATGTGAAAATTCCTTGGACCTCCCACCAGTCCAGCTGGTGGGGACTGGGGGTGAGGCAGGTATTCCTATGCCCTCCTGCAGGGGCAGAGGTGGCTTACAGGGCAAGTTTC